TTCTTGATGCTTCTATATTGGTGCGGAGTCTTGAAGTGGGTAGAATATAGTTGTGCATTAATTGGCTGTTGATTGCTGGTGTCGACTTCTTAATGTGTAGTGCCTCGCAGATATCTAGCCAGCTGCTATCGCTGTATCTATCGATGATTTCCGTGTTTTTTGTTAAGACTTCTCTGGTGATGGTCTGGTTGTGGGAAGAGATTATATGTTCCTTAATGGAGCCCTGTTGCTTATGCATCGTTAATCGCCTGGAAAGAGATGTTGTTGCGTTTCACATAAAGAGAATTCTGTGTTGCGTTTCACTTACAAGATGGAGAAGGATGGGAAGCTGCCCTTTCTAGATGTAACAGTCATGGAAAGGAGCGGAGGTTTCCACACTGCAGTCTACACTAAGGAAACAAACATAGGAATGTGCCTCAATGCCAACAGTGACTGCCCAGACAGGTACAAGAGGAGTGTCGTTAACGCTTATGTCGACGGTGTTCTCAGCCACAGCTCAGGATGGAAGCAATTCGATGAAGAACTCTGTAGGGTAAGGCAGGTCCTAGTCAACAACGGCTTCTCCAATGGTTTCGTTGAAAACATCATAAGAAGGAAAGTGAAACGCCATGCAACCTCTGAAGAGACAACTAACACAACACCTGTACCCCCTAGTAGACTATTTTACAGGAACTTCTTTTCCACAGCTCATGAAACGGAGGAAAGGGTCCTGAAAGATATTGTTAATAGAAACGTTCTCCCTACAGACAAAAATCAGAAGATACAATTGACGATCTACTATAAAACCAAGAAAACGGCCAACCTACTCATGAGAAACTCTCCAGACACAAAGCAGAACGCTTTAAAAGGGACCAATGTCGTCTATGCCTTGAAATGCCCACTTGGGGACTGTAAGCCTCAAAGAATTCAGTATATAGGCAAGACAACAACATCTCTTTCCAGGCGATTAACGATGCATAAGCAACAGGGCTCCATTAAGGAACATATGATCTCTTCCCACAACCAGACCATCACCAAAGAAGTCTTAACAAAAAACACGTGTGACGGTAAAGCGTTGGTGTTCGGCTGTTTCAAAAGCTAGGGGCAGGGCCTCGTCACATAATAAAAAAAAAAAGAGAAAAGTTGGTCCTTTCGTCTGTGGTAAGGTAATGGGAAGACACACAAAACTCAAATATATAAACAATGAAATTTTAATTACTCTAGAAAAACAAGACATTAATAAAGGCAATCTCATAAAAAATATGCAGGACAAGTCAACAAAGAAAATAACATGAATAATCACTGGCAAATGAAAAGTTACGCTAAGACAAGTAAGTTACAGTGATAGCAAAATAAAATATGAGTGCTGGAATACTGGCTTCGAGCTGCCACCTCCCTTAGTACACGAAAGCCAAGGCTTAGTCTACCAGCGAGAGATGTCAACTGCATGGAGCACTGAGATATTCTGACGAGACTGGCGCACTGCAGCCCAGACGTCGACTTGTGGTTGTGGCGGAGGGCAGGGGCGACGAGACACCAGCCAATCAGCAACAGACAGGCAGAGGATGAGCAGTTAGCTGGTTACGGCGGTGGCCAGGTGTGCTGGGTACGATTTGCTCTCTGGGCAAAACGTTTGGCGATACTTGGTGAACGTATCTTGTATATAGTATCTTGTATTTTGACGTAATTATGTAGGGGGGAGCAGGCTCAATCTCTCTTGAAAGAGATTATCGTCACACACGGAAATCATCGATAGATACAGCGATAGCAGGCAGCTAGATATCTGCGAGGCACTACACATTAAGAAGTCGACACTAGCAATCAACAGCCAATTAATGCACAACTATAATCTACCCACTTCAAGACTCCGCACCAATATAGAAGCATCAAGAAATATGGGCCAATAGGCCCTTTGCAGTTACTTCCATTCTTCCCTTTAACTTACAAAATATTATACCCATTGTTTCGTGTTCTGTCTTGTGTTGAAAGTTTGTTTTCACCTCATCCAAAACTGTTGTAACATATCACCTCACCCAAATGCAGGTATAAAAAAAATCGAAGATGTTTAAGCTCTGTTCAGTTATAGTTGTGTGTGTGTAAACTAAAGTCTTTGAAAATGTAATAAGTTTTACGAAACACACTCAAGTGTCACGTCAGACTAGAAATAAAAGTGAATTTTGGAGAATTGATTTTTCAGTTACCATCAACAGTAAAAAAAAAATATAAAAAACATTGAGAAAATTCGTGTTAGAATTATTAATCTTACTTTTTCGGTCATATTTAATTTTATATATATATATATATATATATATATATATATATATATATATATATATATATATATATATATATATATATATATATATATAATCAAGTTAGGTAGATAGGCATCAGTCAATACCGTGGAATTATGGAGTTGTACACTGTGTGTCTAGTTGGATGCAATGTCTGCTCTTGCTGTGAAGTCCAACCTGAAAATGGCAGTCCTGACCGCAGAAAGGCGCAGATAAACGCCAAAGCGGGTGTGTGTGTGTGTGTCAGTGGTCGAGACCTCTTCTGAAGTCTCTTATTCTCCGCTTGACATATCAGTTCGCCTTCAAATTGCTGAAGACCCTTCTGCACTTTGCATCTCCAGACAGATGTATCTGCAGCTGCTGCCTCCCAAGTGTTGTTGCCGATGTTCATCTGCTTGAGGTCGCGTTTGCAAGCGTCTTTGAAACGCAGCTGAGGTCTTCCCTTGGGCCTCTTTCCTCATGCCAGTTCTCCATATAAGAGGTCCTTAGGAATGCGGATATCTTCCATGCTTGTAACATGTCTCAGCCATCGCATGCGTCTCTGTTTCAGGAGAGTGAACATTGAAGGAATTCCTGTTCTTTCGAGTACTGTGTTGTTGCTCGTATAGATAAAAAAAAATTGAGAGTCAGAAGAAATAAAAAATTTGGACAAGGTCATTTACTTAGAAGTGGCACAGTGAAGGTTATTCACTCGAGTGGCAGTTTACCACGAAGGGACAAAAATTAACTTACTAAGTGTTACGTGCATCCTGTTTCTGTCTTACTTAGGCGGAGAATGAGTCTATGACTCATATGTTGGCTTCAGTAAGATTAGGCCCAATGTGTTTAACAACTTCTTCGGATCTGTTGAATCATATTGGAAATCTTAAGTTGAAATCCTTTTCGGTTTGTAACTCTGCACTGTGTTAGATAATATTCCAGTGGTCCGTCGGAGATTTCTCGACAGTGCTGACATATCCTCTCATATCTGGAACTTGTAAACCTATTTCGCATGCACATGGGTATCCAAGCCTAATGCGATGTAAGTGTACTTCTGTTGTTCTACTGCTCTTTTTCATCAAAATAAGTGATCTTAGTCAGTTGAATACTTGTACCAATCCGCAGATCCTGCTGTTTTAGCTTCTGTGTTGTGGTCACTGATCATCTACTGCATTGCTCTATTTCTAATTACTCTCTCAGACCGTGATAGACTATGACAGATGTGGTATGTAAATGTCTACATTTCTTCTCTTAGTTGCACGTTTAGCAGCTTTGTCTGCAATGTCATTTCCTGTTATTCCCACATGACTTGACACCGTGTTGATAAGTTTCCGACGGCTTTGATGTTTGAGTACTTGCATTAAAGCTATGACATTTGTGTCAGATGGATGTTGTCATGCCAATGTTCTTGTTGCAAGGTTTCACTTACAGTTCTTGAACCTGTATGTAAAATAACATGTTGTTGATGTTCAGCAAGAGTATGTTCCAAAGCATTTTGAATGGCTAGCATCTCTGTTTGTAAAGTTAAACACCCGTTTGAAAGTCTCCAACTAACTACATAATTTCCTGCCTTAACTGCAGGTCCGTGTTTGTCCCTGTTGGTCTACTGATCCATCTGTGAAGTATGTGAAGCTGTCAGATGCCAAGTTTGCTTCCATATTCACCTGTGCAATATTATGTAGCAGATGATGACTCTTAGAGTTCACCATAGCCCCGTGTTCTTGAAACTTTTGTTCCGAGTAGCTAATCTAAAACAACAACAACTGGTTCTTTTTTCCTTCAAGAGCCATAATCTTAAAGTCTGCAGGCAGTGATTCCCAGGGGGCTTATGTAACGAAGTCTGCATGTAATTCGTCGACACTCCTCCCAGTGACTGTATTTGGGATCTTGAATGTATTGATGGTGTTTATTGCACAACGCGTCCACCTATTGCTGTTGGGATCTCTTCTGTACCGAGTTAGAGCTCCAGTGACTATATCTTAATATCTATATATCTTGGTCATCATGTATGCAGCAAATAATTTTACTCCTATTTCAACCGATGTTAGTTTGGTATCTAGTCTTAGGTTCAGTATTTTAGTTCATCTGCGTGCCCCTGTTATAACTCGCATTGCATCATTTTTGATAATTTCAACCTTTGTCCACTGGCTAGGAAAAAGAGTAAGGTAGGTGTTGCATAATTAACCATGTAAGTTGGATTTTTTTTCAGGGATATTCCTCCGCGGGCCCTAAGCCTCTGGCTGGCCCACTAAGTGTTGCTTGTTTCTGTTTTACTTGGGCGGAGTCTGAGTATTTATGACTCGTATGGTCGCTTCAGTAAGATTTTGCCATATGTGTTTAACAACTTCTGTTGAATCTAAGTTGAAATCTTAATGGGTTTGTAACTGTGCACTTTGTTAGATAATGTTCCAGTGGTCTGCCGGGTATTTCTGCACAGTGCAGGTTGGAGTTGATACCTTCATATACAAAAAGACAAAATCTTGAAACAAAGCTTTTATAGCAATGAAATTCAAGGTCGAAAATTGTGGAAATTAATATATCAGGTGAAGGGCGTTATCCATCCATGGATTAAATGACGCTAATGAAGGTTTTACTTAAGGATTTTTATCCTTGTGTGGATTGAGCGATTAATGATAACTACAATAATTATATTAACTTTAAAATGAAACGTGTTTCAGATTATTAAAAAATAACCAAAAATATATATATAAGACAAATGTTTTTCTTCCTTAAGATTTAATACTCTACCTTGCTGTAATAATATGCGCAGATGTTCAAAGGTGTTGGGTAACCACCTGCCCCACATGGAGGGGTTGAGGGCGAGCCCCGACCAACACAGCAACTCTACCAGAGGCACCACCGTCATCGTCACCAGGATGACCACCCACACCATCGGCGCCAGGGGTGCCAGGAAGCCCCACGGATCGATCTCTGGTCGGCCAAGACCAGATAATATACCCGAACTGTCATACCAAAATGGCCAGGCGAAGTCTACTGCCTCTGCGCGAGTGGCGGTTACACTGATGGGCCCGATGGAGATATCTGCCTCCTGCATACAGATATATGGGACACTAATACAACCAGATAAGTACTGAAGTTATTATGAATTTTAAACTTAATGTGTAATTATGTTATGTATCAATTTAGGTATTTCATAGCTTGAACTTACTTTTTTTCATACAATGTCCCTGCGACATAATTAATTTAAAACTGTTTTACTGGTGTTAACGAACACAACATTGGGGCATTAATGAACTTTCAAAAGTCATATTATGTTCCAATGGTCCATATGAAGACTTTGACAACTTCAGAACAGGACGTTAATTGGGTCCAATCATTCACGTCCAATCATTAATAATAAATTTACTAACATTTTATTGGGAATATTTTTAGTATGTAAACAGGTGTAAGAGCAGAACTGTTCAGTTAGGTATACATAAATTTGGGTGGAATAAGACGCGCGCGTGTGGGCGCCAGCACATCAAACAGCTGCAATTGAGAGGTTTTGACCCGGGGTTCCAGAAGGGTTCATCCCCACGGGATTACTGGGAGATGTTAGACAAGATGGCCGCATTCCCTTTGTGTAATTCATCTATTTAGAGCAATTCCGTATTACAAGTAATTGTAGTAATAATTAACCTTGCTTAAGTACTTATGTTAATTTAACGTCGTTTGGAAATTTAGAGGAAGCCTTATAGTTGGACATAAAAGCCATCTTAATGAACTAGTTTAAAGGTTCTAAAACAAAATAGTGAGGGTGTACAGACTATGTTTGTCATCACAGCCCAGGCCGTGACAGTCTTGACCCCACACCATTTACTGACTGTCTTCTTGCACCCACACCATTCACTGACTGTCTTCTTGTCCCACACCATTCACTGACTGTCTTCTTGTTCCACACCATTCACTGACTGTCTTCTTGTTCCACACCATTCACTGACTGTCTTCTTGCCCCACACCATTCACTGATTGTCTTCTTGTCCCACACCATTCACTGACTGTCTTCTTGCCCCACACCATTCACTGACTGTCTTCTTGTCCCACACCATTCACTGACTGTCTTCTTGTCCCACACCATTCACTGACTGTCTTCTTGTCCCACACCATTCACTGACTGACTTCTTGTGCCCACACAATGTAACACCGTAAAGGTGTTTTGTTTAGTTTTGTAATTAATATATACAGAGTACATGAGTCAAGTCAGGCAAGATCTTGAGAGGCGTCAGGGTGTCTTACCCATACTCACACCTCTAAGTATTAATGACGACTACCTGACCTGAGGTCAGGTTGTGTGAAATTGACCTCGGTTCTGCTTAAACCGATAATAGCCGGGTGTGTCCTTCAAACAAGCCACTGGTTAAGGTGTGGCTTGATAGATGGCTTGGGGCTATCTACTTGTGGGCGGAGCTGAGCTCCTAGGTTCACAATAAAAACCCAGGGAGCTGTAGATTCGAGAGCAATAGGAAAACAGCCCAGCAGAGCAGAGGACAGCATAGCACAGGCAGACCGTCAGCCGGACGGGGGGGAATCAGCCTGTCAACTGCAGACCACCCCCTCTTCTCTATTTAACTTAGGTAGAATATTGGGTGAGTGAACGTGAAGGTGACTTAGTTCGGGTTTACTAAGATGTTGTGTGATCTCTAGAGGCAGACGGCTGAAATGGTCTCAGATTCTTGTGTGGTAACTCACATTGCTTATTAATCTTCAATTGATTGAATTCTGCTGAATTTATTGTTTACATATATATTTGATTCACTTGCTCATTAATCTGATTTTAGTTGTGTTCCTATAGCTGGGATTCTCGAATATAATATGCAATCTAGAGTGTAGAATACTCATGAGAGGATTGATTTCAAGAATCTTGCATGGAACATGATTCCAGTTGGCACATGCAAACAACATCTTTTATGTACAGACAAGTTCCATTCATTGTCTTGTATGTAATGAACTAGAATGGATGATGGCAGCATTTTCTACTTCTACCTATCTACCCTTTTACCTCTACCACTCCCAACTCCCTCTCCTCCTCCTCCTCTCTCCCAATTTCCCTCTCACCTGACGACACTCCTCACTCGTCCCACCTAATCCTCCCTCCTCTCCTACCTCCCTCACCCCAAACCCTTACTCAGTACTTCATTCTTTATATTTCCTTTTCGTTACTCTTCATTCCCACCCCTGTTACAACAACTCACTGACTGTCTTCTTGCGCCTACACCACTCACTGATTGTTTTCTTGTCCCACACCACTCACTGATTGTTTTCTTGTCCCACACCACTCACTGATTGTTTTCTTGTCCCACACCACTCACTGATTGTTTTCTTGTCCCACACCACTCACTGATTGTTTTCTTGTCCCACACCAATCACTGATTGTTTTCTTGTCCCACACCACTCACTGATTGTTTTCTTGTCCCACACCACTCACTGATTGTTTTCTTGTCCCACACCACTCACTGATTGTTTTCTTGTCCCACACCACTCACTGATTGTTTTCTTGTCCCACACCACTCACTGATTGTTTTCTTGTCCCACACCACTCACTGATTGTTTTCTTGTCCCACACCACTCACTGATTGTTTTCTTGTCCCACACCACTCACAGATTGTTTTCTTGTACCACACCACTCACTGATTGTTTTCTTGTCCCACACCACTCACTGATTGTTTTCTTGTCCCACACTATTCACTGACTGTCTTCTTGTCCCACACTATTCACTGACTGTCTTCCTGTCCCACAACATTCACTGCTGTCTTCCTGTCACACATCATTCACTGTCTGTCTTCCTGTCCCACACCATTCACTGACTGTCTTCCTGTTCCACACTATTCACTGACTGTCTTCTTGTCCTACACCATTCACTGATTACTTTCTTGTCCCACACTATTCACTGACTGTCTTCCTGTCCCACAACATTCACTGCTGTCTTCCTGTCCCACAACATTCACTGACTGTCTTCCTGTCCCACAACATTCACTGCTGTCTTCCTGTCCCACAACATTCACTGACTGTCTTCCTGTCCCACAACATTCACTGCTGTCTTCCTGTCCCACAACATTCACTGCTGTCTTCTTGTCCCACAACATTCACTGACTGTCTTCCTGTCCCACAACATTCACTGACTGTCTTCCTGTCCCACACCATTCACTGACTGTCTTCTTGTCCCACACTATTCACTGACTGTCTTCTTGTCCTACACTATTCACTGACTATCTTCTTGTCCCACACTATTCACTGACTGTCTTCCTGTCCCACAACATTCACTGCTGTCTTCCTGTCCCACAACAGTCACTGACTGTCTTCCTGTCCCACACCATTCACTGACTGTCTTCCTGTCCCACAACATTCACTGCTGTCTTCCTGTCACACATCATTCACTGACTGTCTTCCTGTCCCACACCATTCACTGACTGTCTTCCTGTCCCACACCATTCACTGACTGTCTTCCTGTCCCACACCATTCACTGACTGTCTTCCTGTCCCACACCATTCACTGACTGTCTTCCTGTCCCACACCATTCACTGACTGTCTTCCTGTCCCACACCATTCACTGACTGTCTTCCTGTCCCACAACACTCACTGTCTCCATGCACCTACACGACTCACCTCTCGCTGCACCATGCACCTACACGACTCACCTCTCGCTGCACCATGCACCTACACGACTCACCTCTCGTTGCACCATGCACCTACACGACTCACCTCTCGCTGCACCATGCACCTACACGACTCACCTCTCGTTGCACCATGCACCTACACGACTCACCTCTCGCTGCACCATGCACCTACACGACTCACCTCTCGCTGCACCATGCACCTACACGACTCACCTCTCGCTGCACCATGCACCTACACGACTCACCTCTCGCTGCACCATGCACCTACACGACTCACCTCTCGCTGCACCATGCACCTACATGACTCACCTCTCGCTGCACCATGCACCTACACGACTCACCTCTCGCTGCACCATGCACCTACACGACTCACCTCTCGTTGCACCATGCACCTATACGACTCACCTCTCGCTGCACCATGCACCTACACGACTCACCTCTTGCTGCACCATGCACCTACACGACTCACCTCTCGCTGCACCATGCACCTACACGACTCACCTCTCGCTGCACCATGCACCTACACGACTCACCTCTCGCTGCACCATGCACCTACACGACTCACCTCTCGTTGCACCATGCACCTACACGACTCACCTCTCGCTGCACCATGCACCTACACGACTCACCTCTCGCTGCACCATGCACCTACACGACTCACCTCTCGCTGCACCATGCACCTACACGACTCACCTCTCGCTGCACCATGCACCTACACGACTCACCTCTCGCTGCACCATGCACCTACACGACTCACCTCTCGCTGCACCATGCACCTACACGACTCACCTCTCGCTGCACCATGCACCTACACGACTCACCTCTCGCTGCACCATGCACCTACACGACTCACCTCTCGCTGCACCATGCACCTACACGACTCACCTCTCGCTGCACCATGCACCTACACGACTCACCTCTCGCTGCACCATGCACCTACACGACTCACCTCTCGCTGCACCATGCACCTACACGACTCACCTCTCGCTGCACCATGCACCTACACGACTCACCTCTCGCTGCACCATGCCTACCATTCCCGTCCACGAGCCGTCGTCCGCCCTGGTGCCAAAACCATAATCCCGGGGCACCACATTGGTGTATCTGGGAGGAAAGACAATGCTTTATTTGTCATTGTTTAGACCTGTGTGTTATTGTGTTTATCATCTTTCTGTATGGAGTAATAACCCTTTTCTGTGTCGCCCACGCTGGAGTGTTTAGTCTGATGCATGTATCAGCAACATTGTTTTATAATCTTACTGTGATTATATCATATCTTGTTCTTTCGTCTCGAGATCAGTATTTTTTCTGCCTGTTCTCACTTTTATTCACCTATTTTCCTTCATTCTCCTCTCCTCTTTCTATGACTAACGTCTCCTCTCTCTCTCTCATTGTTTATTATTCTGTAATTTATTGAGTCTTCATGTTCAGATTAATGTTTTCCTTTTCTGATATATTAATTAGTTCATTTTCGTATTTTGTTGTACATTGTTGAGTGACTTACGAAAAATTGAGAGTTGTGGCCAGGTACTCGACCACGTTAGCAATGGGTCCCGTGTGGATGAATCGCCTTGCTGTGGGATCAGTCGGGTCCACCGTCAGCAGGGCGTTGTGAGCTGACATGTTGATCACAGACACCCGAAGGTTGGGTGCTTGCACGAACCTGCAACATAAGTGAAGTTGAATTGAATATTTTATTCATAAATGTTCGTTTTGTACATTTATAGTTGGGTTAGCTTGTAAATTATTTACAAATAATTTACATAATAGAATGTTATAATAAAATCATTACATAAAATGTACATTTCTAAACTATATACTCACGAATTGATATATATTTAGAAGCTCCATTTATCAATTATTTCAAAGTCATTGTAGATGTCAAATTCAGAATAAGTATATGTATAACGTGTACACATAATTACAATAATGACTGAACTAAACAGTTCAGTTTAAAATTGTGGTGTAAGGCTAGTATCATTAACCTTACAAATTGAACGATGTTATATATTGAGCAAATAAAGTGTAGTTTTTCATTAGAGTGGTGACACATATTACCATATTTTACTTTACAAAAGAAGGCCGATGAGAATACAATTTTAAAGGACTAATGTAAACTAATCATTTAGTTAATTTAAAAAAAAATGTTCACACCCGCAGCTCTCTGTCAACAGAATCAAGGGTCATCCTGGATTAAAATAACTCCAAACACACAATTCAGGTAACACTGGTCTGACTTCAATAGGACTCAAAATACCTGTCTATAAATCATCTCTCTGTGACAGTACTTCCTCTCAAGTCCATCTATCCAACTGCTGGGTCTCACTAATTTCAATACTGAATAGTTGTTATTTTCAATCCTAAAATACTTGCTACTCTGTTATATATATATATCAGACATCCTTAAGCTATATTTCCTGACAGTTAAGTTTATATTTCTGGAAACGTTGAAGTGGCCTGTAACAAACGAGTGCCTGAAAACCGAACTGAATGAGTTTGTTGGAATGGTTTGCATAATATTCCTTCAGGCAGAAGGATATCATTCGTTTGTGAACTATTTCTTCAAGTGTAGATGTGAACATCAGAACCTGATGTGAGATTGCAATAAGTGTGAAGATGGACACCCAAGATACGTTTTGAACATTTCCTCCATTCACAATTAAGCTTACTAATATCAGCGTTTTGAAGGTCCGATCCATTCAGGCTTAGTCATTGACTGTTAAATAACTTTCCTGTCGACCAAGTGCCAAAATTACCGAGTTCATCCATAATGACATTTGTTCTAACTTTTCTGTTCTGGTCTCCAAAAGAATTGGAAAATTTTACAAGTGGCCCCTTTGAGAAAATAATGTCCGAGATGCTTTTCAGAATACCTTACAATAATCTGTCTGCCTAGCAGTATTAATTTGGGGTCAATGAAAAAAAGAATCCTGAGAGTTAAAGGGAACTAATTACAGCAGATGTGTCAGGATTGAAAGTTGGGATGTGCAGTATTCTGCTCTGGATCTTTTACATATTTCTAGCAAGGTTTCCATAGCATCCTTGGTCGGTGCGAGCAGAACTAGATCAGCATAGAAAACATTGTCCTCACTGCCTATTCGACATCCAGGTCGAGTGGCTCCTAACTCTTTTCAACAATGTATGTAGATAAATAGCAAGTAATATTGGGCCTTGTTTCACAATACAATGAAACAGTACTTTGATTGACCTTATTTTTTAAATCAGATATATTCAGAGAGGGCATTGCTGCATTTGACAGCTAATTAACATACATAACGAGCAATTTATAAATATTTAGCAACGACAGGACATTCTTTATTGTTTCATTCTCCACTCACTGGTGGAGCGTCTCCATCTCATGCTAAGGAGTGAGAATTTAACAAATTCTTAAATTTTTGGTCTGTTCAACTTTGTCCAAAGTTTTGGAAGCATCAAGAGAGAGAGAGAGAGAGAGAGAGAGAGAACGGAGCTGCTTTGTGAGTTGCAGTACTGAAGAGTTTCCGTCACCATGAAACTACAGAGCGTTGTTGAGCAACCAGATTTGTATTATAAACTGTCTGAAGTGTCTAGTTCGTCATGTTACGGCCCTCTAGGGACGCAACGGGGTTCTTACTCTGATGTTATTAGAGGAAGTAGTATCCGGCCCCAAGCCAGTAGTGGCTTTCAAGGAATGAGATCCGTGACGCAAGAAACTTAAAGGGGGAAGGGAAATAAAGTTAAGAACTTAAGACTACAATTATTACCATCACCAAATAAATAATATATAAAAGAGTGCACAGGGGGAGGGGTATTAACACTGTACAGGGGAAATATACAATCGTCTTCTCCTGAAGACTCTGGATCCAAATTTCGCGGTGCTGGGTCCTCGGTGCTTTCGTGGTCTCTTGACGAATCCTTCGACCAAGCTGAGTCTACCCCAAACACAGGCCAGCCAAAACACGGGTCCACTGGGGGCACCGCCGTGGAGGCCGTCAACCACAAGTCCAGCAGGTCTGCTGGCAGGTTCTGGATCAGCCACGCAGGTCAGGCCACTCCATGAACGATACTAGGGTAGCGCCCTAGTCAGGAGCCTCGTGTGATACCACAAATCACTCTCCTGTCCTCAATACTCCAGTGGATAATCGTCTCCAGCAGTCGGTCCCAGGTAAGACAATCCTTCTACTGCCACTACACTGGCAGGGTAACACACCACAGTGTTCTTCCGGGAGACGACTTCACAGCTGCTACAGCAAGGCACAAGGTAAGGGGACGGCTGCCTCGGGTAGACTGACTCAACTTCCATCACAGCAGTCCCAGGTCGACTCTGTAAGCAGACACGTCATCAATAACAGGGGCACTAAAACACCTCACTTACAGGCTCAGACACAAACGCCCGTCATATCCACTCCATAGATGGCGCTGTTGTCTGAGCACCACCTCACCAGAGGTCAGCAGCGGCGGTGTTGTGAGCTGCACAGGACTGGAAACTGGCCCTTGTGGCCGGTACACCTCGTCCTTGCCAGGTGTCGTCGTCCATTTGGAGGGGGTTTCGGGAGCTGACCCACAGATGGCGTGGTAGTCACTGCTCCGTGCTCGGACGCTGGATCCGGGTTCGTAACAGTCAACCAGAAAGTCTATGAGTGTATAATCAAATAATTTGTTTAATAGTGGGTTTAAAGCAACAGCTCTGTATTCAGCAGAGGAGGATATAGAAGCTCGAGTTTATGTCTATTTTTTGGGGGTGGGGCGAAGCCTTAAAGATGGATTGAGGAATGAAGCATATAGCTGTAGGTAACACTCCGACAACTGCGTGATTAGGCAGTCACTATGCTAATTACTAATCAGCTTGGGTTTTCGGATCCCTCGAGACCAGGAGTGGTGAACCGTCTGCCAAAAATCTCATAAGTTTTCTAAAAAAATATCTCGGGTCCACATTGTAATCTTGAACAGCAAATTAATAAACTCTTTATAAAAAAACTCCCGTTGCTTATTTGCGTATATTTAATGTATTGAAGACTAAATCACACATCATAAGATGGGGTGATGACGACATTTCGGTCCATCCTGGACCGAAACAAATCGGAGCATCAAGTCAATTGTTTTTTTATTATTATTATTATTTTCTACCACAGATGTGGCCATACATTCACAATGCTAATCAGCATATATACATTTTCTTCTGTCCTCCATAGACAGGTTTAGAGATGTGTTAAACATATAGTTCAGGGGTTTATTGAACAATCAACCACAGAAGGTGATTCGGTGCTTTTAAAATGCTAAGCTTACTTACGTACGTAAATATACAGATACACAGTTATACGTATGCCCTACATAGAGTGTTCGATGTGTCTTTTACATAGTGTCATTAATGTGCATTTACAAAGGTGAAATGTAATTCTGATCAGCTTCCATATATACATTGTCCGGGTTTCTCGGTAAGCGACAGTATAAGTACTTAATCCTGGCAAGGTCGCCAATTGTCGGGGTTTCTCGGTAAGCGACAGTATAAGTACTTAATCCTGGCAAGGTCGCCAATGTCGGGGTTCACCTCATTAGGGGAGAGGGGCGAGTAACAGTATACTCAAGGTCACTCACCGTAGCCCTGCGGGTCTTCACTCTATCCTCGCGGCGCCACTGTACGCCAGGAGAGTATCCCAGTCAATCCCAACCGGCCTCTGATCGAGAAGGAGTGGGAACACAACTTGTTCACTTAACTATTGTGTGCCCGCCCCGTCATGGGCTCTACTACTAACCACAAGGTCGCCAACTGGTGTTTCCGGTGTCCAGTAACACGTCAGTGGTTTTGTTGAATTGTGGTAACAGTGGCAAGGACACACTCAATAGATCTGATATCAGGCAGGTATTTACTTCTATCCCTATTTGCTTTCAGGTTTTATATAGCCACAAGAAATATGGAGGGGATGATATAAACACCAATGTACTTTGTATTTTACTTAAAACTCATTCAAAGACATCACAAGATTATATCAAATAAGCAAACAGCTGTTCCAAGCAGAAGTCGCTCGTTCCCACACATATAATCATGAACTCGCCAAGCTGGCAATGCTCCCCCTCGCGTCAATGTCAAAATCAGCTGGGCCGCGCCCTTCTCGCCGTGTGAACGTTTATTGCTTGTTTTCCTGGCGTCACGCGCTCTGTTTCTTTAAATTCTCAAAGATCACTAGAAGTTCGAACACACAATATTTGCGACAATAGCACGTAAATACTTCGCTACACTGATCTTGAGCTCAATCAAACATTTCTATATTAAAGGTCACAATAATTCACTGTCATGGTATTACACACTGCCCTTCATTTAATGATAACGTATGCAAGTATATATCACTGGAGTTCTCAGTAATTCCTTTCGTGGGCGATAACACAATTAATCACTGCACACATGAATGATTATTCAATACACAAGCATAGACATATAGATATATGGATGAATCATAGACATCAATAATGGTAATAACATAGTTACTGGGCACATAGCCTAACTCCAAATACTGGCCTATTTATATATATATTCTCTCACTAAATGATCATATTAAAGTCTCATGAAAGACGTTATCAACACAGTAAATTCATCAATTACTCCGGGTGCCTGCACACACCAATAATAGTAATAAATTCCGTGAGCACTCTATATAGTCCCACTCTGCACACTGGTGCCTTACTGTG